ATATGTCAAGCTCTCGGTGTATTTCTTATTCTTTTTTCTCATCCGCTTCTTATTACTTCCTATTTATTTACAATTGTTAACGTCGAGTTTACGTCAGAGGGTACGGTTGATTAAACAACTTAAGTTGGATGGCACAACTTGTAATTTTGAAAAGGCATGGGCACACCTTAGAAATTCAACAACCTTAAGGGCATAGCTTAGAAAAACCCTTTATTTTTTTTAAAAGTTGATTCTGAAAAGTTAGTTACCAAAGTTAATTAACATGTGTTACTATTGGAAACATAATAGTTGATATCCCCATTTTATATGAAATTAATTAGGATATGTAAATATTCCATTATATCTACAACTATATTAGGTTATTAATAATGTAAGTACTGATAATAAGCCATTTTCCTATGATAACTCGATGTATTGAAGGCATATTTTTTAAAAATTGGCATGCATTGAGAAATCAAATGATTTTTTAAAATTTCCATTACATGATATGGTATTTTAATGACCTTAACTATACTAGGTCATAACATTTATTTGATAAAAAATTCTTTTTAATTCAGATCTATTTGTAATTATCAAAATTGAATTTGAATTAATGTATCAAATGATAATTTTTTTATGATAACATAAATAAACAAACAAATAATATTTCGCATCAACCAAATCCTCAACAAGTGATTCTGCAATGCATCTTATTCGATTATATTTGGCATTAACTAAATCTTTCTAATAATTGACCACAAATATAGCCCATGACATAACCAGTGCAAACAAAACCACATTTGCGTATGCAATATATTTGTTCTTCTCCATAGTTCATTAACATAATTGGCTTTTCAAGTCACATATTTGTTCATGAAATTGTGACTTTTTAATCTTCACTTTGTTTAGCTTCATAGTTAGAGATTCAACTTCTTTCTCAATTGCATCCAACCTCTTTGACATCATCTCACACTCCACGCATCCACCGACATCATCATACAACCATGTGAAAAATCCACAGTCAGCTTCCTGCAATTCATAAAAATTAAAAATACCTTAATTGGTAATTGGAACCCTAATGAAAAATTATTACATTTACTCATATCCATTAAAATTAGATCACCATCCCTATACCATTTAAGAAATGATAAATGGTATGGGTTTAGAAAAAGTACCGGAAATTTAGCACAACACGAAATTTCCTTCACCTATTATGGTTAGGCTTGTTCAAATTTCGAATCTTAGAGGGAACGCCACATCCACATTTCACCATGAACCCGCCAAAACTAGAAGATGAACCGACATAAGCGGAATTTTGTGAAACATCCATTTTTGTGAGTGTGTGTGTGTGTGTGTTTGTGTTAAGTACAAGGGTGAGAGTTGGTCAAGAATATAATTGAGGTTTTAAAAACTAACCTCCGAAAAACAAGGGCGGTCAGTTGAAAAATTTGAATTTGATTTGAAAAATTCAATGCACAATTTAATTGAAAAAGATACCGCCTCACTTTGTCTTTTTATGAACGTATAATATGCTTTATCCTGAATATGTTTGTGTCATTACCTGTTTATATAAAAACTATTTTTCTTCAGATAAGGTTCATTTGGATAACAATCTAGTACTTAGGTATAAATCATATGTGGCAAATATATCAATGTAACACATAATGCTAATTTGACTCTTGCCTTGCCTTTATAGTCGCTTAAAGTATGACTAAATTCTTATAAATAGTTATAAAACGATTATGCCCATGGAATTTCTCTAAAGGTGGATGTTTTAATTAGTTATGTTGCAGATAGGTGGATGTTTTAATTAGTTATATTGAAGTATATGCTTACAGAATTAAAACCGCCGAAGTAGATATACAAGTTACCATTGATATCAAACCTTAGCTTGCTAACATGAAATGTGATTTTCCTAGTGAAGACCAAAGTCATATTCACTATCAATTAAGAATATTACAAAATATAACAAAATATTAATGAATTAAAAAGCAGTACTTGGTAATGTCCAAAGTAACGTATGGTCGTGGCTAATAACTAATAGAGATGTTCCATACAGGTAATGTCCAATTTGTATTTTTGTTGATTACATATACACAAACAAGATTTAAATTTACATAAGCGTTTTTTTGGATCAAACATGTTTCGCAAAAAAAAATTGTATCGGTTTCTTCTCCTGTCGAACCCAGATTCTTAAAAAACTTAAAATTTTTTATTTTGATTACATAAAACCGGCGATTTTGCATCAATTGATGGATCTTGTACAATAAAAACCAATTATTCAAGGATTAAAAACCAATCCCAATTGCGCTAAAACTCGGAATTCAAAAAACTTGAAATATCGAATATGCTGTTTGGATCTGGCAATGTTTTTGATATCCATCGATGCGCAAGTACCACTAAAGAGCATTAAAGAAGCATGAAGAATTGGATGTTAAATTAATCCATTGATGAAGAACATTGAAGGAGCATGAAGAACACGAAGAACACTAAAGAACAATTTTTTATTTTAATTTTTTTTAATTTAATCTTATTTTATGATTTTTTTAATTACTAATTTTAATAATTTAATTTCAAAAATTAAAAAAAAATAAAATTTTGAAAAAGCAATATATAATTTCCAGAAAATAGAAAAGAATTTAAAATAGAAAAAATAAAAAAAATAAAAAAAAAGGGTTTGACCAACTATTTAAGGAAAGAAACAATTAGCAATCACATTTAAATATAGTGATGGTCATAATAAGAGTGACCATATTAGAATTTTTACCAAATGTCCTGCTCAAGCTTCCAGTCCCTAATAGCATAGATCATAGTCTCATAATCCCTCTGACAAGTACAATAATCCGGATCATAATATCTAATCGCGGATATGACGGAGAACATCGAGTTGCCAAATTCTTTTCCAAAGAGTGCAAGCAAAAAATGGAGCTTCTTCCTCACACTTCTAATCATCATCAAACATGGCTCGGTAAGCTGACCGAATGGAGTACTCCCTGATTTTCTTCAAATCCCAACAGATCCTATCCCTTGGAAGTCCATTGCTCAGTGGGATACTAAAGTATCCTATAATATTCAAATGGCAAAATAAGATTGTGCTGTCAATATCCCAACAAGCAACATCTTGATTCAATAGCTCACGAAGATTGCCAGAATAGGAGATAAACATTTGATGACTAATGTACTCCAATCTTACAAAGATTTCTTTGCATGGGAGCATCACGAAGTGAGAATAGATCTTTCTAATACCTAGGCTATAACCTTATAATCCAGAGCCCTCAGCGACAAGCACTAGAATTGACCCAAAGATAAAGGAATAGATCGCCTAACTTTTGAAAGTAAGCTTTCTACAGCTAAGTAAAAATGCAGAGGGGATAACCTACATAGTTCTTGTAATTATGAAGAAAGGCAAGAACAGGACATGTGAACACTATAGAGATATCAACAACGTTTCCCCAGAGGACCAATATCTCATGCTAGTGGTAGACATGGTAATTGATGCCTCATCCAGGCTTAAGTCTATGTCAACACTAGATGGATTTGCTAGATACCACCAAATCAGGTTCGCTAAAGATAATCTCTCAAAGAAAGCATTTAGATTTCTAAGGTCTTTAGGACTATATGAATACAAGGGTGAAACTAATATGGTTTAAAACCGAACCAGACCGAATTAGTAATGCGATTCAGTTTTTTTTATTTATTTATTTACTTTATTTTAATATGGTTCGATTCGGTTTGAGAAATAAAAAAATTACAATTTGCGGTTTGGTTTTAGTTTAAAGATTTAAAAACCAAACCGCAATATAGGCCCATATCTAAATTACAGCCCAAATTCGATTTTCAGTCCTACTATATAAGGTCAAAAATAGGTTATGTTGAGTTAGGCCCAAAGAAAAATACAAATCAAAGGTCAAAACACTAGGCCCAAAAAACTGCGGTGCAATTTAGTTTTTATTTTGAAAACCGAATTAAAAACGATGTGATTTGGTTTGAACCGAATAATAATATAGTGCGGTGTAGTTTGAAAAATCTGAAACTGAATTAATATGGTTTGATTTAGGTTTGGGCTATAAATCACATCGCAAACTGAACTTTCACCCCTATACGAATATAAGGCCATGTCATTTAGTCTTATGAATGCAGGAGCTACTTATTAAAGGGTTATGAACCTCATATTTAATGAGATGATGAGAGACTTCAGGAGGTTTACATTGATGATATATTGGTAGAATCACATAGTTTGCCTGAACACATTGAACACCTTGTTCTAGAATTTGAGGGAGGGCGGGTCGGGGTTTTTAGTTGGTTTCAAAGGAGGTGGGTAGGGTTTTTCTGGGTTTCAACCGAGTGTGTGCGGGGATTTTCTGGGTTTCGAGAGAAGTGGGAGGGGTTTTACTAGTTTCGGCAGGAGTGTGGGTATGGGTTCTGGATTTTGACGGAGGGTAGACGGATGGTGGGTGGCCAGTTAGGTAGGGTGACGGTTAAGGAATGAGGGGAAAGGGCCGAGCCAACAAGGAAGGGATAGGGGTGCGGGGAAAGGAGATGGATAGGGGAGGGGTGGCCAGAAAGGGAAGTGCGACGGGAAAGGGAGATGAGCAAGAGGAGGGGTGGCTGAAAAGTGAAGTGTGGTGGGGGAGGTTGGCCAAAGGTTATGGTGGGGGAAAGAGATGAAATTTGTATAATACACCAGGGTGCACCATGCTCATAGTGCACCTGGTGATGTGGCATAATTAATTTGAATCGAATTATTGGAAAAAATAAAAAAATAAACAAAATTCTGGGCGAAATTAGAGGGAATTATTTCGTTTAAACTGCTTTCAGTTTTTAATTATTATCCTTAATTGACATTTTCCATTTTAAAAATATTTTAGAGAGAGAAAATTACAGAGATCAATAGATTTAATTTCAATCTTCAATCGGTTTTCCAATAATTTGATTCCACTGTAATAATGTTTATGAATCCGAAAAATAAAGAGAGAAATTTATCAACCGATTTATAGAATTCTTTGTAGAAGAAGTTAATAATGGTTTATCATTCCGAATTTCGCCATGATTCTAATGCTAGATTTGTTGGTGATGATGATGATGATGATGATATCAACAATGAAGGTGAATTCGAGGATATCGTAAACGAAAATGAAGGTAAATAGTTTAATCGATGATCTTTTCATTTGTTAATTCTTATTTTTTATTATTAAATTTGGATATTATTGATAATTAAAATTTTATTATCGATTTATAAATATATATTTATTTCTACAGCAATATGTTTAAGGTTGAAGATGAAGTTCTTTTATTATTTAGTTATGTTCTTTTATTTAACTTATCATATCTATTAGTGCTGAAATCAATGTTGATATTATATGAAAAACGCATGTACATTTGCTAAATATATATGTACTTTGTTTTACTTTTTATGTACTTTTGCTGAAATCAAGTTGTTGAAATCAATGTTGATATTACGCATATACATTTGCTAAATATATATGTACTTTGTTATACTCTTTATATAATTTGCTAAATCTATGTGCTGAAATCAATGTGTATATATTAAAAATTATTAGTGACATATCCAAGAATGTTATTTATATATTAAACAACATTATTGATATATTAAAGAACATACTTTTGTAAAAAAAAATTTAAAAAAAAAACATATATTGATCTTAACAAATACATATATTGATCTAGTATTTCAGGTTTTACCGAGGCAAGTGAATCAGAATTGTTTGACAGAAAAGTTAAGTTTGATGAAAAGGCTTATGAGTTGTATAATAGTTATGCCTTTAATCACGGTTTTGATATACGTAAGGGTAAGTTGAATCGTAGAGAAGACAAAGTTACAATTCGACAACGCTTTTTTGTATGTTCTTTTGCTGGCTTTAAACAAGAGAAGAAACCTGGCGAAGAACCAAAAGTTTACCAAAAGAGGAATTTTCGCACAGGTTGCAAGGCTCATATTCAATTTGATGTTGATAAGAATTCTGGTTTGTTTATCGTGGTCAATCACATTATGGATCATAATCACAGTAAGGTTCCTGTTTCAAAGAGACATTTGATTAAGTCTCATAGGAAGTTAAAGGAACATTCTATTTTTGTTCTTTTTCAATGCAAATAACTTAATATGTTCTTTGCTATTAACATTATGTTCTCTTTTGTAAGTTATATGTTCTTTTTTATACAGGTCAGTAAGGAACAAATTGCCATGCTTAGCAGTTTGACTGAGAGTAGTATACATGTTGCTGATACAGTGCGCGTTTTAAAACATCAAGCTGGTGGTGAGGAAAATCTTAGTTTTCTTTGTAGGGATGCATATGCTGCTTTATCTGCCCATAAGAAAATGAAGTTTGATGGATGTGATGCAAAGCAACTGCTTAGGTACTTTAAAGATGGGAAATGCAATGAATATTATGATTTTGATGTCGATGAGAAAGGTCATTTGCAGTCTTTCTTCTTTCGTAATAATAGAATGAAGGTAGATTATGATGCCTTTGGAGACTTGTTGATTCACGATCGACATATCGTACAAACAAATATGGTATGATATGTGGTCCTTTCATTGGCATGAACCATCATAATAATAATGTTATGTTTGGTTTTGGCTTTTTGATCAATGAAAAATGGAAGTCATTTGTGTGGTTGTTTACCACTTTTCTGAAATCTATGGGGGGCAAACAACCAGTGACATTAATGATTGACCAAGCTCAAGCAATGGCCAAAGCAATAAGGATTGTTTTTCCAAATTCCTGACATCGTTTATGTACTTGGCATATTGGGGAGAATGCAAAAAAAATATCAAAGGACTAAAGACCAAGGAAGGTTTTAACGATTTGTTTGATATTGTTTTGAAATACACAGATACTATTCAGGAATTTGAGCATTATTGGTCAAGGTAATATTATGTGTTTTTTTATATTTAACTATGTTCTGTTTTTTTATACCTCAACATGTTCTTTTTTATAACAACAATATTCTTTTTTATAAAACAATAAAGTTCTTTGTGTTATTTTAATATATTATTATTTGGCATGACAAGAATGTTTAATATGTTCTTTTTCATAACAACAATGATCTTTTTTTAGAGAATACATGATGTTCTTAATACGTTGTACTTATATTTTGCTGTTGTCATCAATTTATTTATATATGTTCTTTTATTTAACAATAATGTTGTTTGTGTAATCTTTAATGTTCTTTTGCAGCATGCTGAATAAGTACAAATGCGCAGATAACAAATGGCTTCAAAATCTGTATAATATTAGAGAGATGTGGTGTCCTGCATATTCCAAAGATTATTTCAGTGATGGTGTTATGTCATCTCTGAGAAGTGAAACCACAAACAAGTCAGTTTCTCGTAGACTTCATGCTACTCATGGTCTTTGTGATTCTACACTACTTTTATTGAGGTTGTTGATGAGTGGAGGAGCAAAGAAGGTAGCAATGATTATGATAGTTTAACTAGTAACCGACATCTAGTATGGGCAGATATCAGGATTTTGGAGCATGCAAGGAGGATTTATACAATCCAAATTTATTTACATTTTGAAGATAATTTTGTGAGTGGTGTTCCTTGCACAGCTAAGGTCGTATGAATGCAACCTCCTCTTTATGAATATCACGTGGGGCATCCTAAAAAAGATCTTATGCATACAGTTGCGTTTGATGAATCAACTGTCACAGTTGATTGTACTTGTAAGTATTTTGGTGAGGTTGGTCTACTATGCAAGCACTCACTTCGTGTCCTACACTTGACCAATGTTACTTATATACTTAAGAGGTACATTTGTAAGAGATGGACAAAAGGTACTATGTGCACAAGGGTTGATGATAATGTTGTTGCTGAAAAGGGTGTCACACCTTCTAGTGTATGGAGATTGCATTTTATTCGAACTTTTATTGGACTTGTTGATCGGGCGCAAAATGACTTAGGTGCTCGAACGGTCAATGAGGAAGCAATTGATGAGTGTTCTAATAGGATCAATCTTTTACTGATAAAAGATAAAGATGAACCTCAAGAATCCTTGATAACTGATCAACATGATGATGCTCCAGATAAAGGTGAAGGCAACCTTTTAGAACCACAAAATTGTGAAGAAGAAGTCCTGAAAAAGAGGATGTTGTGGAAGAAGAGCCTACAGTTGATGTTGAAGTAAAAAATCCTATCCAAAAGAGGAAAAAGGGACAAAAAACACCAGATTGAAGAGCACCCAAGAAAGATTTGCAACAAGCTCAAGGGTCAAAAGATTAAGTCGTGGAAAAAGAAAAGTACGAAAGGGGTTTCAAAAATGAGACAAAAGGCTCAGACTACGATTAAGGTAATTTATGCCTTATGTTCTTTATAATATTTGATATGTTTTTTTGTTGAGGTTAAATGTTCTTTTTGTTAAGTTACATTGTTCTTTTTACTAATACAATGCTTTTTCTTTTTTGCAAGGATTTTTTTGTTGTCCCTGAAGGAAATATTCTGGCACATTCAACAAATTTGGAGGTTCTTTGGAGGTTTTTGAGCCTGACGAGTATTTTGGAGTAAATGTTATACGCTCATCAAATTAAGAATTCATTGATATTTGTTTACTGCTCAAGATTTGTATGTTTGTGCTACACATTTTTTTTAAAGAACATTCTATTTCAGTTGAATTTTTGTTGCAAGACATATTGTTTAGAAATTATTATATTAGATTTCTTTTGAATTTTTTTGTATGAAATTTTAATTCAAGCTATAATAATTCAAACTTACTACTAGTTTTGATAGAATTTCTATTGTATAATAAATTAACTAGTGTTATTATTTACGTTTTAATTACTAAATAAGCTAAAATTACATGACATATTTAACAGAACATTTAAATAAAAAAAACATTTAACTTAATCAAAAGAACATTTGCATAAATAAAAAAGAATATTGCATATATTTAAAAGAACGTTTAACTTATTTTAGAGATAATAGTTAAATTTACAAAGCACCATTTCTTCAAATTCAAAATGCAATTTCAGATTAATTTTTGCAACAATCCAATTTCAAGTACAAAAAAAGTTAGAATTGACCCCCAAAAAAACCACTTTCACTTGTTCAGATGTAAGCAACACAATATTCACTAATTTTTGCTTATTGCATTGTAATATTTTCTAGCCTTGACGCCAACATCTGCCTTGTATTTGTTAAGATCATCTACAATAACCTCATACGTGTACCGCATCCTAAGACTCTTCAATGCATCAAACTTTTAAACAAAAAAAAATATTATTAGTGAATGTAATTAGAATAAAATTGCAAGATACATTAATATACATCTTACATTATCAGCTCTAAGGCCACAATTCCATCTTCGCTTTCCAAAGTACTCTCCATGTGGTGCATTGTGTATATGCCGCAATCAACATTGTTGTTTAAAGTTCTCCATGGCATTTCAACCAATTTGACAGTATATGTTGGCATTTTCTCCCCTATCTTGATTTCATACTTGTTCAAGTACATTAAAAAGGCATCCCTCTATTATTAACAATTAAAGAACATAAAAGTTATTTAAAAGAACATTACATAAAATAATAAAGAACATAAAGTTTATATTATCATTAAAAAAAATACTATTTTCTCTAGATAGTCATGATATATATTTTTCCTCAAACAGAACACCCTCTACAAGCGGTCTGTTATCCAGAATTTCAACACACTTTGACTTTGTGTTTATAACCATTACATAAAAGTGGTCATGTGCATACACAGGGAAAAAGAACTGTAACAATTCAAAAAGAAAAAACAATATGTAATTAACATAAAATAACATAGATTATATTAGAAAGAACATGTTGTATGAAAATAAAGATCATTGTGCAACTGATATATATATACATTATGTATGAAAAATAAGATTATTTTTAATAAATATACGACTTACCAATTGATATCCTTGAACAGATTCCATTTTGCTATTAATTAACCAAATTTCGATACTTTCAGTGAATTTATTGAGCCTAATACCAGCTGTATCTACTTGACTATCATCGACGTATGATTCATTCAAGCATAACAAGTTCTATCATACAGTTCTATCATACAAAAAAAAAAAAAAAAAAAAAAAATAAAAATAAAAACAAAAATCAAAATCAAATTAATAATATGTTCAAAGACATAATGCCACAACATGAGTTTATTATAAAATGAACTACACTTACAAAAGCTTCGTTCAGGAAGAACACCCTCTTTTTGTCATCAATTGCATTCCTTGCATTGAGGATGAGACTCCAAGCATCAATGATGTCGTTGTCGATGTCGACATTGTCACCAAGTGTTTTGACCAATTTTCTTGTCAAAAATGAATGTCCATCATCATATAAAAGCTCACTACATAAAAGGAAACAAAATAAAAAGAAATCATAAAAGTATAAACATTAGAACATAAAAATCTAACATATTCACTTGAATAAACATAAAAAATAAAAATAAAAAGCAATTAATTTTCATACTCTTCATCAAGTTCAGTTGAATAAACATATTCTAGTAACGCATTTTTAAACTCTTTTGTTCCATCTATCAAATGAGAGTACTTAACCAGGAAAGGAGACTTGAAAACCTGTCCCACCTTCCTAATTCTCTTTGTAGTCTCAGGAGAAACTCTGCAAAATTAATTTAAAAAGATTATAATAATAATAATAATAATAATAATAATAATAATAATAATAATAATAATAATAATAAAAACAAACATGCTATATAAAAGAACATATAGCTAATTTAAAAAGAACATACAGTTTAATTAAAGATAATTTACCTCTTTTCCTCCATTTTTTCCTTTCTTTTTTGTCTTTTTTTCCCAACAGCCTCTTCCACATTTGCAATTCTGTAATAGCACATATATATAATTAAACAAATACATAGTGTAATAATATAAAGAACCTTGTTAATACATCAAAATGTAGTAGAAAAAATATATTAAAAAAATATGACCATACCCTTCACTTTTTTCACTTTCTAACTCTTCTTCCCCCACATCTTCTTTTTCCTAAACATCCTCATCTTCTTCCATATCAGGTTCGTTGACTTCAATAGTGTCAACCCCAAGCGTTAGATCTAAATCAAATGGGGGCTCATTAACATGAACATGAGCATGTGGCGGTGTAAGCTCTTGACTGAAAATAAGGGGTTGGGTAAGTGAAACAGTTGTAGATGGATTGTTTTGAATACTAGCCAACATCACATTCTTCACAACATCGTCAATCATGTTCCCAAACCAATCTAATGCAAAGAAGTCAGTGTCCTGACTAAGAATTGATGTTCCCTCGCCATGTTGACTTTGTGTGTGTTGTTGTATTACATTCGACAAATTGACTCCGACACACTTAGACCACATGGCTGTAAGATTGTACATAGTGGTCTCTTCAGCCAACGGGGTTATATGGAACCTCTCACCTAATTTCAAGATATTAGAGAGGCCGACAAAATCGTTGGCAATCCTTTCGGTTACCTCTCAGAGCATTTGATTATGCTCCTGACATTTTAATAATCAATGAAAGGTGTATTACTACACATATACTATATGATAGAATATGATAAAATATTTCATTAGAATTCACCAAAAAGTACACATTCAAATAAATAACATTAAACCATTATTGAAATGCATCCCTATTATATATAAAAAGAACATAATTTAATGACAAAAGGAGCATTTAATAAAAATTTAAGAACATTGATTTAAATTCAAAAGAACATATACATTAAGAGTTGAAAATATTACCAAAAAAATCGTATCAAAAATAATTCTATATCAAAGTGAACATTGTTTAGAACTACGATGAACATAATATTTTATTGAGATGAACATAACATATAAAATTAAGTACATTATATCAAAAAATACATATAAATTGTACTTGTACATTTGATGGGACTTTTTTATCTTGTTTTTGTTGTTCTCCACCATTTTGATGTTCTTTTTGTTTCTGCTCTCCATGTGGATGTTGCTACTCTCCTAATTCTTGTTGTTGTTGTGCTTGATCTTGCCCACGTTTTTTGTTTACATTACTTTCCTGCTGCTGCTCTTCCTCCTGTTGTTGTCTTATCTCTGGTTGGTCCCGTACCACCACCAATACTTGGTTCTCACCTAATAGATGTTGTGGAATTGGGATGTCCACAACAATTATTGGTGGTTGCACTCTGTCCAACAAAGTACCAAGACCAAAGCCTAACCTCAGCTCAAGGTCTATTCTATCCTTGATAAGATCAGTAGTCCAAACCTTAATGACAGGGAATTCTCTAATTTGCTCCAAAGTCATCTTTTGAAGCCGATCAAAGTAGCACACCTGTACATCATAGCATAATAGTTTTTCATTTTAAAAAATAGATACCAAATCAATTATATGCATAGAAAATATGATAAGATTAATACAAGAACTATTTCAACATGCATGAAGCATCCATACCCAAAGAAATGGCAATGGTCCACAGAAAAATCTAGCAACACCTCTTTTCTAACAAAGAACCCACTCAATCAAGCTCTCCATGGTGTAACTACACCAGTCATATTCGAAAATGCGATTTACATCGATCGCAGTGTGCAAAAATCTGCTTTTTAAAAAAAAAATAGTTAAAAAACATTTCATATTAAGATAATGCACATTAAAAGGTACCTAGTAAACGGTTTTGTACAATAAACCTGAGATAAGGTTGTTGATTTTGAATACTCTTTATGCAACAGTTTACCACCAACACCAAGAAACTCCTCTTCCAGTCATCATCAAGAAGAGTTTCCACAGGTGCTAATTTGCTCACAAGTTTGTTCACATTATTGGGAAGTACTCCCCCATGGTATCTCTTATAACTATTTAACACCTCCTTATAATCTTCATTGACATCCTTTGCATCCACTATATCCTTTCCTCCACTTGGTATTCCATATACCATGTGAACATCAACAGCTTTTACATCAATTGATCTATTTCTATCCAAATTAAATTTCATTCCTACGGCATCAAAATTCAAGACAAGTTGTGCTGAAAATTCAAGATAATTGTGGGGAAAATCCAAGTGCAAGAATCCACCAAAACCCATATCCTTTATACCTTGAAGCTTATCAACTTGGTTAGCCAACTGCTGGACCAAGTGCATCAAAGGCATAACAGTTTGCCTCGTTGTCAGCTTTATTCTAGGTCCTTCCTCATCACCAACATCATCAAAGGGTACTACTTCTTTTTGTGCAACTCCTTTCGTGGCTTTCTTTAATTTAGGTTGCTTCTCTATTGCAACCACCGTTGGAACCTGAACAACTGATTGTGCTGCTGACTGAGATATTGATTGTGCAGCACCTTGTTCTGGTTTTTCTTTAACAGGGAATAATGGCTCCCCCATAGGAGCCCTCTTTTTTTTCAGCATTCTCACAGGTTTTTCCTCAATAACCTTCACCGGGTTCTTTTGATTGATCAACTTCTTCTTCCTACGTTTATCTTGAACTTTCCCACCCTTCTTTGTACTGAAAATTAAAAAACAAAAAAATCAGCATGCAATATATCTTTAATAATTTGAACTACTAAGTTATAAATGACCTTACCCCTTTTTCCTTGCAATTTGTTTAAATCGGTAAGGCTTCTTTTTAGGCCCATCATCAGCCCCATATTCTTTGTCTCGTTTTGTTTCATCCTCAGTTTTAGGCTCTACAACAGCAGATTGCTTTGGTACTTCAATTTCGTCCTCAGATCTTCAACATTAAATTAGAGATGCATAATAAAATTAAATGCATTATATTTTCATAAGCCAAAATAAGTACATAATCAACTTATATGATGTACATTACACTAATTTTAACGTACACAACAAGGTGAAAAATAAAAGGTAACTATATTTTCATAAAGAACATCACAACTATATAGAATGAACAAATCAAATATGATAAAGAACATCAAGTATATGCACAATGAACAAATCAGATTATGAAAAAGAACATCACAAACATATAATATAATATTTATAAATCCACTACAATTGACAATGATACTTTAATGTCCCATACATACCAATAATGTTTCACAAATATTAAATAGGAGTCCTTTGGATTGTTCAGCAAAACAAATCAAGCAAAAAGTATAAAAAGCAAAATTACACGCATGAGTGTAATTGCCCATACTAGGTGCCTCACAAAGAAGTTTTATAAGGATCTTAACACCAAGAGTAATTGCTAAGGAAAAGTTAGGCAATTGTCAAAAATCATGAAAAAGATGAAAGGTTAGGCAATCAAAGTGTAGTGCATCCAATTCAACGAAGTCCATCTCAACTACCTTCCATAAAAATCAACACATATTATATACGAAAAATGAGTGAATATACTCATTATTACACAATCACTTAGAAGTTAATTAATTATCCCTTAATAATAATGGAATCTTTTCTATACAACAGCATGTCAATGCCTTTCATTTTCAATTTTCAACTCTTTTAATCTATACATCTATATTATCCTTACCATAACAATTACTAATTTATAGAAAGAACATTGTTTTCTATTATAAAGAACAACCATACTATAAAAAAAAGAACATTAAAACTATAAAAAAGAATACACCATATCCAGATCTATTCCAAGGTACAAAGAACATCTACTTATCAATAATGAACATTACACTAAAATAAAACGAACAAATTATACTAACATGTTACAATACTAAGGCTCACTATATAAAATAATACTCCTATAATTGTTCACAACTACCAATCCAATAATTAAATAAAATAGATGTAAGATCTCCAATAAAACAAAAAAAGAAGATACAATAAAGTAGGCATTTCGTAATGGTGAAAGCTTGTACTTACTTGGTAATAACAATATCTTTGTTAACAATTCCTGATCCCTACACTCGGGTGCACCATGAGCATGGTGCACCCGACCCAAAACGACACCCCTTTGTTAATTAAACGCACGTCGCATTAAAGCCTCAAAATAAAAAATAAAAAACGATGAACATTCTGTAGAAATAGGAAGAACGCGAGATTTTTTCACCCAGTGAGTAAAACAGAAAGTAAAAAACAATAGTTACCCCCAAATAAAAGGTAAAATCATTTCAAATCACTTTCTCTCTCTCTAAAAATCAAATTCTCTCTCTACTATTTTCTCTCTTAAAAAACTGAAATTTTGTCAAAACCCTAATAGATTATTAAGGCAAAAAAACCATAATTGTGCTTCAAAGATTTGTGAAGATGGTGAAAGAAGATGATATGTAAGTTTAATTTCAGCATGCAAAGTACTCTAATGACTGTTTACGCTGTTTTTCGTTTTTTTTGTTATATTTAATTTTTTTTTAAATTTCAGCACTCAAACTAAAAATCTAGTGAAGGAATATGCAATTGAGTATTTTTTTTTTTTGCTTTAATTCGTGTTAATTGTTGATTTCGTGTGGCTGAATGTGTCGTTTTTTTGTGATTTTTGCGTAAAACCGTGAGTAATTTGATATGCAATTGAGTTTTTTTTTTTTTGGTGATTTTTGTATAAATCCGTGAGTAATTTGGTTATTTTGGGGTGTAGTGTGCAACAAGAAGAACAAGATGAAGAGAAATAAATAATATCTTACCTTGAAAAGAAAAAGGGTACATAAAAGTAAGAAGAAAATTGAAGGAATAAGTAGTACAGAGGTTCAAGAGATCCAATTGTGGACCCTGAGATGTTGAAAGTCATTGACAAAGAGAAGGGAAGAGAAAAGAGAAAAGGAAAAAAGTCAGACCAATTGTATGACGAAATGTGTCATGTAACCTATTTAACAGGTTACAAGCAAGTTTTTTTTAACTTTTTTATATTGAGATCCTCAAAGGTTGTAATTAAAAATAATTAAAAGATTGTCTTGTTTAAATTCAACGTAATTAAAGGTTGTATTATTTATGACAATTTATTAGCTGTATGGGGAAAGACATTTTCATCATAAAAAATACAATAATAGACACATATGTAGCCAAGCGAACACAACAGATCCTACAGACCCCAAGAGTCACAAACTATAGTGCTCTACCGATAATTCATACAAGAAATGTTAAAAAAGCAGCCAATAACTTCGATATGAACGCACATTAGAGGCTGAAGTATTCCCTGATGATCTACTTTTGACTTAAGAATGAAAGAACTTTGTCACAGAATTTTACAAAGCATTGTCATGGACTAGACTACAAAACAGCATTGTGCAGCAAATTTTCGAACTCTTGACACAGAGCTCTAGTGGCGACTACTTATACACCTCCAAATGGCTAAAAGATGGGCAGGGAAGATGAACTCCCAAGAGTGAAGCCGATAAGATCACCAGAAAGTGTACTAGTTTCGAGGGCTTTTCCACTTTCTGCTTTAGGGCTACTCCCTGCACTGCTGTTAGAGAAATAACCCAGTACACCTGTTGGAGATGAGGCTGGTTGAGGTTTACCATCCCAGCCCTTCGATAAAAGATTAAGAGGCAATATACTCTTGCTTTGGATCCCTGAGCTAATATTGGTGGTGGTTTTGAGGACCTCTCCTAGAGGACCACCAAGCGAGGTTTCCCAAGAACTGGGTCTCCTGTCATTTGTGACGGTGTTCACTCCCAAACCCATTTGGACAGTGTCAAATTCCCGTGATAATCTTAAAGGAGATAGAGCAACATTTTCTCCAGTAGGTGAAGAGGTGGAAGACATAAAGTCAGCTGGAGGTATTGAGATTGATAGCTGGGTTGTCCTGTCTGTTTGTGTTTGTAACTTCGACCACAAAATGCTAGATTGATCATCCATGGAGTGATTTGAATGTTGTGGGTTGGATCTTTGGGCATTGAGGTCATGGGTTGGACCATAAGACCTAGAGACAGAAGAGTCCGTGTGTGTGGTGTTTAAGATTGCATCAGACGTAAGGAATGCAAAATTGCCAGCAGTGGACTCAGTAACTGAGAATTTGTTGCCATTGGAATTCAGGCTAATTTTTGGGTATTGAAAATCAAGTCCTGTATCGCCTTGCATTCCCTGACTGCTGTTTGCTATGTTCACTATATGCCTGGAACCACACAAGAAATTTTAGTTATCTCAACTTAATTTATACATCATAATATACTGGAATTGAAACTTGATTCTCCCAAAATAGTTCGAAGTATTACGTTTTGATCAGATTACCTGTTTAGCCTCGCAAACTACTTATGTGTGAAGAATATCTTAGATAATCACAACTTATCCTTAGGAAGGGTTTTAAGACAATATCACTAGTTTATGACTCGAAGAGTAATGACAAAATAAAATCAAATTCACAGTAAAGGAAAAATTAGGAAGATAGTACAGAATTAATTTTAAGACACAAAAGTAGGTGTAACAATAAGTTATAATTTACAGTAGTTTGACTTGAATTGAAAGAGGGTATTGACTTTGATGATGTTACCTGTTAACTAGGGAAGAAGGCAAATGATTTGGTGGAACAGGTTGTATGTCCTTGCTTTGATCAAGGTTTATAGCAAAGCTGTTGGATGTACCACCACCAGGCACCACTAATGCACTCGAAGAAGAGGCGGAATTCATGACATTAGTAGTAGAGGAACTAGTTTTGTTAGTGGTGACTCCGGAGATGGAACGTCCAGGATGACCTTCCACAGGCTTTCTTGAACGATGGCGACCTCTGTTCATATGCCGCTCACAGTATTTTTGATCAGGTACAGCATCTCTCGAGCACCGCCATTTCTTCCCATCCGTCCTACGACACCGTCCTGGCTCAGGATCAGCACTGTTGGCAAAGCCGAGATGGAAAGGACCCCATCCAACTAAATCAAACAAATACTATCAAATAATTGAATAAACACACCAATGCAGGACAAGTACAGAAATTTAAGGTGCGGATATATAACTAATTTTAGACTAAAACAATTATGTTACTCTTCCGTCCCATGATTAACATCTATCATTTCGAAATGTCATGCTATTACATATACAGGTAACATTCTTTTAGTACAATAATCCGCCAAGTCTTTTCTCAACTTTTCTATTCCCTTGAAATCGCTCAATTACTTAACAATACTAGCTAAAAATAGCAAGGCAGAAGCAATGAAGAATTATTGTAGCTTGAGGACACTTAATAATGTGATCGATGTTTTTATGTTGCTATTCAAATCATCTATTTTTTCTTTTTCTCTCCCTCAATCCTTTAGCTGCTTTGTTTGTTACACGTTTTCTTGATTTCTCCAAAATTCAAATTGATCCTAAAGGCTAAAGGCAAGAAAAACGTGACATCTTATTCTATGTAAGTAATGTAACCAAATTAATGATCACAATGTGGACAGTAAGTAGACATACACCTCTTTATACAATAAATGCTTTAATGTCATAGATTAAATAATGGTAGGTGAGCATTTGTGAGCAAGCAGGTGAATTGAAGAAGAATTGAAGGCAAGTAGTACTAGAGACGTTTACAAGAAATTGCTAAATGAGACAAATTCGATATTCTACTACCGTAAACAAAATTCACCCCCATTATAGATTTTACTCATTTTACAAGAGATTTTCCTGACAAATTGATAGCTTTAAAGATCGCTTCCAAAAATTACCGTACATAAAAATGACGGTCAACTAGTTTAGTCAACTAAAATCTTCTAGCATAATACCTCTAAGATTCAAATCTCGTTTATATTACTGCCTATGTGACTCATATGAACAAAAATAGGTATTACAAAATAAGCATTAAATGAAGAAAAGTTGCTAAGATTATAGATCAAACTTACATGTACTGGGACTCAACAGTCCACTAGAGAAGCTAGAAAATCCTGCTGATTCAAAAGCTCTTCTTATGGGAATCAACAAATTAGGTGGTATGGGAACATTTGCAATAATGTACTTGTAGATCAACGCTTGTTGTTCAAGCTCAAACCATTGAGATGGTGTAAATGGTGCTCTTACTCCATTTGTTAAACACATACTTGCATTCACACTTCCATTACACGTATAGCCTAAATCATACACACAAAAAAGCAGAGGTTAAACTCAAATTTATTTTCAATGCATAAATTATTGGGCATTTAAAATCTTAAATCTCAATCAATATTGCATTTTGTAATCCTCACACTCTTCCTGCCTCTAAAGATTCTTCCTGTTACGATAACGATTATATTACAACAAAAAAAGTCAAAACAGGAAATATTTTTAGAGATTTATGGATTAATTTGTTGCACATTTAATTCTAACCCTTGATTCAATTTATTTAATTATTACTATAACTCATAAATTGTATCCTTTTTTAATATTTATTTTTTCAATTTCAAATACTAAGGGAGAAATTCGTTTATAGGACTAATTAAAACAGTTTTAAGAGACAAAGTTGAAATTGTTTCAAAAAAAAAAAAAAAAAAAAAAATGAGAGAGAGAGACAAAGTTGAAAAAGGTAAAATAAATCAAAGGAAGTTCCTTTATTTTCACTTATTTCCCCTTTTGTGCCCCCTACCTCCTACTATTTGATGTTCATTCAGCTGCAAAAAAAACCAAATATAACAGAATTATTCAAACAGGGAGACAAGCATATAATTAGTACTAACAAATACTATACTCTTTTTATAAATTTCCCTCCACCACCCAAATTTAAATTCAAGTACCCATAAAAAAAATACTTCATATAACCAAGTAAAAAGGAAATAAAGTTCCAATATTTTTTGCTACATTTGTACAAGAGATAAAAGTAAGATATAAATTATTAACAATTTACCTGCATTTTTACTGTAAAATGAATTTGGATGCTGAAAAAAAGGAATTGTAGAGCTTTTTGGTGAAGAGAAACTAAGCAAATTCTGTTCTTGCTGCCAATCAGAAAATGCATTACTTAATTTAGCAATTTTTGTGGGTTTCCAATTATCATCAGAAATTCTTGAAGATGGCATTTCCTTATTTGAAAACTCAGTAGATCCAATTAACATATTGCCCATCAAACCAAATTCCATGAAAATGAAGCTTTTGGCAATGCTAGAAGCTTACATGAGTCACAAAATGAAGCATTGTTTTGAAGAAAATGAAACTTTGTTTTATATTTTTTGGTAGGGGTTTAAGGTAGTACTGAAGAGCTTTTGGTTGGGTTTTGAAAGACGATATTTTTTTTTTTTTTTAGAAAGAATGAAATAATTGGAGAGAGAAAGTGAGTGAGACAGTGAGATAGCCAGAGAAGAAAAGGGAGGGAGGGTGGGAGTGATTTGACAAAGACAAAAAAAGTCGATATAACGGAGTTTTGTTAACTGTGTTTTCTTTGTTATTTTAGGACTTTTGAAGTTTGGAGTGTGGACGTAATGAAGTTGCAATAATACCATGTAGGGTCGTAGGGTGTCAATTCGGGAAATTGAATGTATTATGGTTAAACTATGATGGGTCGGGGTTTTTTGTATCCGGTCGTTCGGGTTAATGTTATCCTTTTACCCCGTCTTGGTTTGGGTCGGGTTAAGATCAGTTGAGTCAGGGTCATGTTTAGGTCGAGTCATATTCTGTAAGATTTATATTCTTTTTGGATAAATTCGTATCAGTTTAAAAATAAGCTTGATTGGGATAATAATCTGGTCGGATAACTTTCGGTCGAATTGAATCTAGTTCAACTGATTCTTGTTAAGTTCAGTTCAATTTGATTAATATAAGGTTTTTTATTGTTGGGTTAATTAATTTCAATTTAGATCTATTTAGGGTAGAAATACCCCTGACACGTGGTCCAATCCTATAGAGACACGTGTCCCAATCCTATAGAGACACGTGTCCCCATAGGAAGATGACACGTGGCAAAGTAGAGAGTACTTGAATGAGGAAAGACCTCCTTACATTAGGAGGCCCAAATCCCGAGAAAGGCGCTAAAACGGCGCCCCCAAAGGACACTTGTCCTTACCTGATTGCGCCCCTAATCAGAGCACATCATTCTAGGTCACCAAACCCTAAATGGCACACACTCCCAACCCTATAAATACCCCAATCATTTATGATGGGAAGGGTGGATAGAGACATCTCATTTATTGCATAAACAATTTGCTCCAACTTCTCTTTACTTTTTCTCTCTAAATTATTTCGTTTTCCGATCACTAACTTGATCGTCGGAGGCGAATATTCCGTCAAATGGAATATTCGTTGTTTTGCAGGTGTCCGTGTAATACCCCGTATTTTTGAAACATATTTTCTAATTAATTAATTTATTATTTTTTAAAAAGGGTATTTTAGTCATTTATTCTACTGTTTGAATTTTGGAGCCAAAATGATATTTGAATTTTGGCTCCAGAAGTAATTTAAAACTTAATTATTATTTTTGGATTTTGAATAAGATTTATTATCTATTTATTTTATTTTAAAAACCAGATTATTTATATATTTCGGATATTTTAATTAAACAAAATAATATTTTATTATTTATTTATAAGGGCCGAAAATTCCTAATTCAATTACTATGGTTTTTGGAGTTTCTATGTGTATGTAGAAAATCTGATTTTCTTACTTAGTAAATAATTGGTATTTTCTTAATTAATTATTTTATACAATAAATATTATTTACACAATAATTTTTAAGCCTTAAACCTAGCAAAGTATTTCCTAAATACTACAAGGATGTCCGAAATTTTGGAGCTATGGAAGCTCAAAAAGTTCGGCCACTTGGTTGGATTTTTAGGTGATTTATTTTGGTAAATTGAATTTTTAATTATCTCCTTAAAATCTCTTATTTTCCTTAATTTTATTTTCCACCTCCTAAATATTTGATCATTTTATTTCTCACCTTATTTTATCTTTGATTATCCCCCAAGTAAACCTCCTTTTCCATATTATTTTTCATGACAGCATACTTTCCTTAATTTTATTATTCTTACTCACCTTGATATTAAACTTTCCATAATTATTAAGCTCTCTTCTTCAAGTAACTTCCTTAATTCTTTTTACCATAATTCTTCCCGCATTCTCTTGCAATAATTCTTGCATGAGCTAGCCTATAAATACCCCCTCATACCTTTCATATTTTTGACACCAAAAACTCAATTCTCTTCTTCTCTCTTACTCTTCTTCTCCTCTTTTCTAAAAGAAATTAAAATCAGCTCGTATATCTTTGGAACCAATTTTTGGGCACTTCTAGTCAGTTTTGGGGTTTTTATATTTCACAAATAATTGTTCCTCTAGAAAAATTCTTGAGGTTAGGCTCAAGAATCACCTAATTCGGAGTTATATTGAAGGAGGTTAGGCTCAAGCCTCTGCAAGTTCTGCCTATTCTTTCCAACGCAAATCCAATTCTATTAAATTTCTCTTCTTTTTTCTTTTCTTTTCTTTCTAGCGCCACCACCACCAATCACCAAGACTGCCACCTCCAGCCACCCGTCGGAAGGCTAACCCACCTTGCCGCCACCTCTCTCTCTTTCCCTTGGTTTTCTACTTCTTCTTCTTCTTCTCTTCTCTTATTTAATTAATTATTATTATTATGGGATATTTATAAAAATTATTATGAGTAGTTTTAATGAAATAAAATCAGATTTTTATTCATGTTTATGAAAAATAATTTAAAAGGTTCATGTACATATAGTTGGGGGGTTTTTAATTTAATTGTTGTGATTATATGTTAACCTTATATTATTTAAGGTTATATTTATTTGTAGGGTGTGTTTGATCCACGTGTTTGAAGTTTATTTGTGTTTTCTAAGCAAGCACCAAAGGTATGTTATGTGGCTAGATACATTTGAAATTAATTGGATTGTATAAGCATGTTTTACATGGCTTTTATGATGATTGAATTAAATTGAATTGAATTATGATTTATGAAATAAAAGCATGTTAAAATAATTGGATTGATAAATAAATTGGACGATTAATGTTATGTTTGAATGGTTTGAATTATACATCAAGTTGAAAAAAGAAATTGATTTGCAAAGTTTGATGAATTAAATAAAAGGTTTTTCAAAAAGAAGAGTTATTAGTTTTAAAAAAAATTATCAATATGAGATTTAATTCTCAAGTATTTATTAAAAGGTATGTTGAATTTAATTAAAGGAGCTTGAGTAATTATTGGAATTATTGAGTTAAAGAGGTTTATTGATTTTTTTTAAAAAGCTTTACAAGAATAATTATTATATTAATCCCACTATGCGGATTCATTGAAGAGTATGGACTTTGTATGACCTAGTCTTTCTCCAAGAATAGCCTTGAAATAGTAGGAGACTAGCTTGGGGTTGTGCACACTTAGAGAGGAGGTTGAGTTTTCAAAAATAATTAATTTGACTAATCATTATTATTGAGTTTATAAGTTATTGGAATTATATTGAGAATATTGAGAATTGGTTTTCAAAAGATGAATTGGTTTTATAAATCGTTTCATCGAATTATTAAGAATTGGTTTAATCATGAGTTTTGGAATTCATCGGATTGATTATTGGAATTGGGTTTTAAAAGCATGTTTGCAAATAAATTGAATGTACTTATCTTGTACTTTCGTACTTAGCATATTTTGCTAACCTGTATTTCTTATTTGTTTTGGTTTGCCCTGTTTGCCGTAATGATAAGCAGTGTTGACTAATTTCAGGTGGAGTCAAGAATTATGCATATGGGAGTCCCGAGAATGTTCTTCACCTAGATTAGGAATGTTGGTCTTTGTTCAATTATGAGTACTCATGACTATGGTTACTATTTATATTATTATTAATAAAGAAAGTATTGAAGTTTCTGCTGCAAAGTATTGGTTTTGGTTAGTAAATTTGAGTAGCCTTGCGTAATCACGCGGCGGTAATACGCCTAAGTCTATCTCTACGGTATAATTATACGTATTATACTAGTATTTCCATAGAAGGAGATTTAGGGGTTTTACAGTCCGCGACCGTCTGGCTAAATTCAAGACCTGTATCCCGAGGGATTCTAGAAAACCCCGAAACAGTTGGCGCGGTCTGTGGGGGATACACGTCTGAAATGGCTAAAGATGGTCAAACACCCGGTTCTGGTCAGGACAGCTATGTAGAGAACATAGTCGCTACAATCAACACTAGTGATCCTCTAACTGCCTCATTCCATGAGGCCGAGGACCCCCTCAGTAACGTCCGGCTCCTTGCAGGTCGCCTTGAATAACCTCCGAAAAGTGCTTGAGGGTAAGATACCTTCTTCTTCTAGACAACCGTCAGAAGAGAAGAAGAGGGCATCAAGAAAAAACCCCAAAACAAGACAGGCAACACTGAAGATGCAGGGAATACCCCATTCAGAAGACATTAGAGGTCCCCAAGGGTGTTTGGGATGAACTGGTCCAAGCTACTTGGGAAAACACAGTTGACTTGGGGGAAGACCAAGCAGCGTCTGAGGTAGCCAAATGAGCCGTCCCAACGCTGGAAGGATGCTAAAGACTATCTCCGGCACAAGCGGCAGGAGCGAGCACAATCCTACTACTCGGACACTGCCTCCACTCCAACCATGCCGGATGAATTCTCCAACCACACTCTCTTCAAGCATACTAGCTCGGCCAAGACCAACAGAAGTCAAGCTCAGCGTACTTTAACTCTAGTTCCTTTAACTCAACCCCTTCAGTGTCAAACGCCCCATAACTATGGTGCAATTCTGCCGCCTACTTCCCCTGTATATGGGCAGTACGGGCAGTATGGCCAGCCGTATGACCAAGCAGCTTACCTGGAAGGACCGGCCGCCCAACCTTAGCCTATTGATTGGCAAATGCGCTTGTTAAATCTTGGTGACAAGCCGCTTCCGTTTTCTCAAGAAATTCTCAACTCTCCTCATCTAGTTAAAGTGAAGAGTGTACTTGTGGGTGTCTATGATGGTATGGGCAACCTAGAAGAGCATGTTACCTCATACAGAAATGTGATGTACTTGCAGAGTGTGGGTGATGCCACCCGGTGTAAATGCTTCCCGGCCACCCTTAAGAGTGTGGATCAAGATTGGTTCAACAGTCTGCCGGCCGGATGCATAAATTGCTTTACAACTCTCAGCCTGTTGTTTATTGGAAACTTCTCCTATAATATTCCACCCCGGAAGACTAGTCTTAACTTGGCGACCATCATCCAAGGAAAGAAAAAAGGGTTGTGTTCGTAAGTCCAGAGGTTTAATTTGGAGAAAGCGCACATTCAGAATCTGCCAGATGAAATGGCCTACTCGGAGTTTCTTCGAGGTCTAAGGCATAATGGCTTCAAGTTTGATTTGATCAGAAAAAAGATTCGGACATACGCAGGTGTTTTACAGGAGGCTGAATCATATATTGAGGCAGCTAATTTATGTTCGCTGACAAAGTCAAAAGAGCCGGCCAAGGACGCCGAAAAGAAACCATCTTCTCAGCACGACTCGGCCGACAAAAAGGAAGAAGGAAACAACAAAAGAAAAGAAGTTTGGGTGACTGATTGCCAATAGACCAAGTAAAAGAAAGCCAAGACGTACGAGCCACGGTACGAGTACAACAAAGATTGTTATTCAATTTTGATGGAAATCAAAGACAAGTTTGAGTTTGAGAAGCCCCAACCGTTGAGAGGACCGGCCCAGTATAGAAACAAGAACAAGTACTTCCATTACCACAAGGATGTGGGGCATGACACGAACGACTGCAACAACTTGAAAAGGTTGCAGGATAAGCTGGCCGAGAAGGGCATGCTCAACTCGTATTTTCTAAAGTCTAAGTTCACCTACTCTCAGACAGACAACAAGTTCGAGAAGAAGGAAAAGAAAAAAGATGATGATGGAAACAGCATAGACTC